AAGGATTGGGATAGGGGCTCACAAAGGGAATGACAACGAGACAAAAACTTCCATAACGTACCTTTAGGCTGTTATTGGCTCTAATGGAGACTAATGGCGATCGCGCATCGTTTGAGATTGCACTGTCTGGATTTGTGACAAGTGGCAGCAAACCGTCTATCATGGGCAATTTTTTTCCAAACACTGGTGCGATTATCATCTTCACCATGACAATAGCCAGATCCATAAATAAAGATGCCCTGATGCCTCCTGCCTTTTCATGCATTCTCTGGCAAAGTTGCCGTGGAGTCAAGATAATCTCTGTATTGGTCTTCGCGTAACCGAGGTAACTAGAATCGAGGTAATGTCTTCTACTGGTACTGGCTCTTACAAGAAGATACCGAAAAGACATACATGTTAGTATATTATCCGGAATTACAGCAATGTGTTTCGCGCTTGCTAGACTATTCTTCCATATTATATGTCTAATCCTGCCTACTTGTAGTGAGTGATAAAAAAGTTCTGCCAACAGCGTGAAATTATAACATCTGTGCAACCGACAAGACGCACAATCCGATGGAATGACCATCCACATGCATGCGATTCTACGAAGCGACCTTTCTTTTTCTGATGCACTCTATATCTGTTAAGATCCTAAGTTCTCCTGTCAGCGTGGAGTGGAAGTTCGTAGCGAGAGGTATCTAATGAGTTGTTGTCTTTATCACTTGTCGTCCTCGGGGCTCAAAGTTACGCTGCCCGTCACCTCTTGTTAAGTGCGATGTTGGTGAAAAATTGTTAATAAATCGAAATTCTCAAAGGCACCTAACTGTTCAAATTGCTGACATTTTTTTCTTCCTAAAGGCATTTAATCTTCAAAGTGTTAAATTAAATCTAAACACACTCTTGTTGATGGAAAACTACAAGTGTCTTCCATATAAAGTACAATTCCCTTTTCGGAAGCAGCCAATTTTCAAGAGCTTACACCAACACGTGATTCGTCGAGTAAACTCGCCGGAGATTTCTAAAGTTTGTTATCGATACTAGGTTCTTATGGTAACTTTCTCCTCCTGAAATGAATGAAAGTGATGTCCCAAAAATTGCCTCTTCAACTTCAAAAGTAGAAAAACGTCAAAAGGTACTACGTCTCGTGAAATTACCCGTCGTTGCTTTAACATGTGGATTTGCCATCATCTGCAGTTCTCAACTCCGCAGCAACACTTGGGATCCAAGAAAACAAATTCATTACATAGAGATCACTTGTACAAAAAGAGTTGTGAAGATCAGGTTACAGTTAAAAATGTTATGGCCATAGATGCGTTACTTTTCTCTCTCTCTCTCAACCAAGTCTCGTATATATATCAAAATTTAACTAATGAAGGTTTACATATTTTACTTATTTAATAATATCTTCTCAAAACTTATCTGCCTCGTTTCTACAAGAATTGGCTATTAAATAACGAGAATGATGCTATAAAATATTTTATTTTTATATCATACATATTTATTTATTATCATTTTCAATTTACTCATCCCTATAACTCTCCTTGAGAATCATCCATTGTTCGAAACAGTGCTGAAAATCTTCTGTCAGCCCCAACAGAACGCATGCCACTTTTTTTTTCAGAGCTTCAACGGACCCAATTTTGTTCCTATTAATGAAAATTTCATCTTAGGAAACAGATGGAAGTCGAATGGCACAAGATCCAGGGAATAAGGCGGGTGGACTAACATTGGGATGTTGTAATTGGCTAGAAACCTCTAGACAGACAATGTAGAATGAGACGGCGCATTGTCTTGGTGGAAAAATTTTCCGTATGGTTTCTGTTTCTATTCCTACAGTCTCAGCAATCACACGAAAACTTAACCGAGGTTCAGATCGAACCAGGTTGCAGATTTTCTTTTCGATACTGTCATCTGTTTTTGACGTAGGAGGGAGATGCGGACGTGAATAATCTTCAACATCTTCTCGGTGATCGTAAAAGCATTTTAACTACTCAAAAACACCTGCATGAGATAGACATCCATTGCCATAAACTTCTTTCAATAAATTATAATTTTCAGTAGTGATTTTTCCAAGTTTTAGATGAAATTTTACAATTCGTTGCTCACTAATCATTTTTGGAACGAAACAAATAAAAAAAAAATAACTCTAAAGCGAACGAAGGGTTCGGCTTTACAGATTTGGTTATAGAAGCGAGAGGTACTGCATTCGAAACAGAAGGCTCACGCTAAACAGCAGTCTCTCGCTGGCGTTTGGTTAATACGTACTCCTTCTGCACCAGCGTCAGTCTTGTTATTTAATAGCTATTCCTCTTATGTTGGTATTTCAAAGCTCAATTGGCTCATACGTACTTACATCAAAAATTATAGCTACCCACAAGTATGTACATATTTCTGGATAAAACAAAGGCTCTGTGTTTAAAATATTCCCTCCACCCCAAAGCCAACGCATCTTTCAATATTGGCTTGTCCCCTCACGATTTAAAAATCAGCCCCGTCCCCAAATTCGCCCCTTTACTTTAAAGCGCTTCCGTTCGAATGCACTCTTAATGAAACAATTTCGCAGCCATAAACAAACGCGCCGTAGAAGAATTAACTTCATTAAACTCTCTAACGATTCCACCAAATATCATTAGTTGCTCACGGGCAAAAATTTCTTCTATCCGCGTCAGGGATCTAAATGCAGATTACGGCACGTGTTGGCCGTTTTGAGGTGACGTCATCGTCTTTTAATTTTGGCACCTTTTATGTGACATTTTTATTTTTCATTTTGTTTCAGCATCTAGCTCTGCCTTTTTGTGATGGCTGGCACGTGTTTACGTTTACCAATATGCGCAAACGATATGTTTTTGACAATACACTTAATGAGTTGGGATTATCTTAGAGGATAGAACCATTCTCTATCGTATTAACTTAAAATGCTTTGTTAAGTGTTTGCTCCATTTTGTGTTTTATCTGACTCATTCGAATCTAAATAGATATTCTAAAGAGAATACTTTATTAGAACTGCATTATGGTTTAAGAGGCAATACAATTTATTCCATGTAATCGGTTGAGTATACATTGCTGATTTATAAATGATATATATTTCTATAATTAATTTGGATTTTTATAAATATTTTTGTGGGCAGACGGGAATTAATAAGTAAATGTGTTTAACTTTTAAGGTTGACTTTTTTAATGCTACTAAATCATAACATACTCTATAGATATATATATTTCTCATACAATTGAAATAAATCGAGGTTAACCAAAAAGTCAAAAAATATATCGTATGGATCAATTAATATTATTATTACAAATGAATTTTATTTGTGTTTCAACTACGTGTTTGTATTCAATTTTTCAAAATTTTTATTTGTACATATTTTGTATGAGATAATCATATTGTCATGTCTCACACCAGCACCATCTATCAAGTATTTATTTTGTATTTAGATCCATTGTATTTTCATTATCATTTGGCTTTCATTATATTTAAATTAAGTACGTATTCCTTTTCTGCCTAAACTATATTAATACGTAATTTGTGTAGAATAATTAGTTTTTATAATGTTTTTTTCCACGCCATTAACCTAGTGTATATCTTTAGAGCAATGGCAACTTCTAAGTTTAGTTTTGAATGCTTAAGCGGAAATGGGTTTGGGCGATTGATACTAACTAACTAGGGGTTATACAGCTCGCAGCACTAAGCCACAAGCCGTTGTCAAACGAATAATTTTTTTTTACTTTTTTTTACAAGAGTTTCTTTTCTCTTATGTCAACTACATATTACTTTTTAATTCTGAAATGATAAAATGATTTGTAAAATACGGATCACCAGAACTATTAATGCAAGCGAGACATGTGTTCAAAAAATATCCGAGAAATGCAACCAGGCGGGCTTGCTTTGACAAACGTGTGCACACGATCCTTATGCGCAAATACATATATTTTTCCTTCATGAGTATTTTATGCGCATATATATAAACTGTCGAATGCCAGAAGACTACCAATGAGTGAGGAAGTTTAAGTAAACGCTATTTGGATTTCGTTTTATACAAAACGACCAAAAATTTGAACATCGCAACTGCATTAAATTTTGCGTAAAGATTGGCGACTTCCAAGTGTGAACGACGTGTACGATTCTACATACCTTCGAGGGACAAAGGAAAGAACACTGCACATATAAAGAAAAAAAGAAAAAAAACTGAATTTCACACACTTTCTTCACCAAACCCAACAAATATTTATTTCGTCATGCTCCTGTTTCTCCCAATATGCTCTGTAAGTTTTTTTTAGCTTTCCCCCAAGATACCTCTTAGGGGCTTACCTTCTTTAGGTAAGTACCGGTATCATGATCATGAGTTATCCGAGTGAACCTTTATTTTCTTGATGGGTTTTAATGTACTTGATAAACAAGGGTGATGCACCCTGGTATACCCTAGTGATTCTTTTCCTGTTTGGGATCCTCCTTCCAGCCAAGCAGTTTTTACCTTTCTTCTAATTTTTTTCTGTCCAGATCACAAATATATATTATTTTGCACAGCTTAACCAGATTTGAGTCTTAAGCCAGTAAACGTATACTTTCCCTTCACTTTTCTCAGCAGTAAAGTATATACCTGAAAATGGCCAGATTCAAGTTCACATGGAGCACTCGGCAGAATGTGATGGGCCATCTTCATGCTATCTCAAAAGAAGTATTTCAGTGCAAATTTCGGAAATGGCAGGATTTTTGAAAAGTATGTAGCAGCCCAAGAAGAGTATTTGAATTAAGTCACTGTTTGTTAAAGTCAAATTAAAGTCTGTCCGGGCTTAAGAAGTCTCATCAGGTGAAACCCATCTCATCATCTTGTGTTGTATACATCTTATCATTGGGTGGTACTATCAGCTTGGGGTGCTAATTACTGGCTAGTGTGTCTTAGTCGAGTGGTTACCCCAATGTTTGATCCACATTTAACTTTTCAAGTGAACTTGGTTTTCATTTATCCACCCCCCGGAGGGATAAAGGGCTGAGTTCACCCATGACCAGCTACCCATGCTGAAGCCACCAGGGATCGAACCTGAATCAGTAGTATTCGCAGTACGACTTGTTAAATACTACACCACCGCTTCCTCAGCACATCAAACTGCATCAGGATAATGCCAGATGACATATTGCTTCAGCAATTGGTTAGAAATTTACATGGCTAGTCTGGTAAATTCTGTCATATCCACCATACTCTCGAGACTTAGCACCATTCGATTGTCCCTTGCTTCTCTACTGACAAAGATTTCTGAAAGAAAATAATCAGTATAGAAAAAAGAGGCCAACCAAGCACTATCTGAGTTTTTCACCTATGAAACCAAGACATTTTTCAAAAATAGTATTTACAAATTACCATCACGCTATCAAGAGTTCATAAGCAGCAACGGAAATTATATTACACAATAAGTATTATTTGATGTTTGAAAAGAGTATTATTTTCTTTGATTTCCTAAACTGGCACAACTTTTCAGTAGACTTAATATAAAGAGGTAATTTTTTTATATTTATAGGTAAGATTTTATAAATAAATGCACATAATATATTGCTTTAAATTAACTGTGATTTTTTTGAGTGTGTTAACATCGAACACTCTATGTGCTATTTAGAAGTAAAAGTGTCATTGCTCTAATATTTAACATGACATATATCATAACCTTCGTTCAAAATATTATTTAATACTTGCACGTGACAGAAAACTTTTAAAAACGGGTGTACATATTAAATGAGGGAAAGGAATAAACATAACGACACATCTTTTTCCCACAATAGCTCTCTAGGATAAGGTTTCTGTGGATCCAAAGGTACTCACAAATTAAATTTATTCCAAAATCATCTAGACCAACCCATCTTCGTGGTGACTACAGTAACTCTGATTTTTGAGTGATCCAGATTTCGAGTAGTAGAGAACAACATATCCCGGCCTCGAAATATTGGTTCAATATATTACAAAGTAAAAATAAATAAATAAAATGAACTTAAATTAAAAAAAAATCTTTCCTCAAAGTCTAATTAAAACACTTCACTAATAAATCCTGACTCTTAATATTGGGTAAGTAACCCGCTGGGAATTAAGGGACAACTTTCAGTAATACATTTAATTTAATTGACTGTTATTTAAATTTACCGGGCTATTATTCTCTTAGAGAGATATTCATCCCTGAAAGTAAATTCGCGCAGAACATCTTCAAGGGCTTCACGCCTGCATTTTTCTGTTAACTGACCAATAACGTCTCTCTTTCTCAGGTATTCTCATCCCGACAGCCTCTTGCTGACTTTTCTCCCATGCACTATTGCGCTGAGAAGGAGGAAAGTACCGATCTCACCGAGAAATCCGTTATATCATCAACACCTGCAGTCTGTAGTTACTGAACGGTGGATGATAAAGAGAAGAGAGGCTTCACTTTTGTCGTGTTCCATCCGCACTTTGAGGGATGGTGGACGATATTCCTCACCATTTACATAAAAAAAATGGCTATTTAGCATGCGTGAAATAGACTCTTTATCTGAATTAGAAGCAGTCGTTTGACCGATAGCATTTCAAATGATACTTAATACATCTTGAGAATTTTTAATGTAGTAATAGATGGGAATAAAACCTTTTCAAAACATCGTTCAATAAGTTCTTAAGTGAAAAGGACTTCTTTTGAAAGAAGGGGTGTGCGGCGATTCTCTCACAAAAATAGAAACTAAAAATGACAGAAGAGAAATGCGCTGAATAACTGACCCGACAAGAATTTTCTATCTAGCTGAGTTGTCGAAGGTGCAAGGATTTGCATCGGATAAATCGTCTTAGATCAAATTACTAAGATCAAATTCGTCCTAAGGGCAATCTACCTCAGTCAGAATAGGGATAACAACACTGACACAGAAAACACAATTTTAGAAGAAACACAATGTACAAGGTGTGGTTATTAAGTAACGAGACTGATGCTATAAAACATTTTATTTTGATCTAACATATACTCACTTATTATCACCTTCAATATACACCCTTTCTTTATCCTACAACACTTTATGCAAATCTTATATTGTTTGAAACAGTGTTGGAAGTCTTTATCTGTCAGCTTATTCAGAATGCGTTCCGCTATTTCACAGCTTCAACGGACTCAAATATTGCTCATTTTATTTCAAATTTCCCCTTAAGAAACAGATAGAAGTCGCATGGCACAAGATCCAGCGAATGAGGCTGATGGTCTTACAATGGGAAGCTCTACTTGGCGAGAAACCTCTTGACAGACAATTCGGAATGAGCAGACGCATTGTCTTGGTGGAGAATCCATGACTTGAAAGACAAGTTATATGTTCGCCACCAATACAATTGGGTTGTTTTTTCTTAATCTTTCACGGAGTTCAACAAGAACGTGAAGGTAGTAATGTTGATTAATAATTTGACATTCAGGAACCTAGTGAAGTTACACAATTCCATGAATATCGAAAAAACACTAAACATTTCTTTGAATTTTGATTTGCTCATTCTTACTTTTTTGGCTCTCGGTGAAGATAGGTTCTTCTAGCGCATGAATTGACGCTTCGTTTCAGTATCATAAATAAAACTCACACGTTATTATCCTTTGTAATAAGTTTGTGTCATTTTCAATGGCATTCAAAGTGTCAGTGCCAACATTTTTACGAACTTCTAGTTGCGCCATTTTGGCACACACTTTTTAAATTCCTACTATTAGCTCACAGTCTCCCTATATTTATCTTGTTGAATATCTCGTTAACATAATACTTTTTAATAATCCACTCAAGTTCAAATATATTTTTTAAAACTTTTAGTGGATGACACTTGATGTTAATACAGTTTTTTCAAATATTGATTCATTTAATTAAATTTAATTGGTGAAAATGCAGTTTAGCTCAACCCCTTGGCGCGATTTCAAAAATTGCCAAACTTGGCGATTTATTTTGGCTGAATGTTAAGTCCGCGAAGCGTACCAGGGTAGCCACATTTGGCAAAATGCAGTCAAATAATTCCTGTTGCCAAGGGTGGTTGGGCTAAACAGCATTCCAACCATTTAATTTACCGGATGAATTAAGAAACAAGCCAATGTTTCTACTCTGTCATTTGTCTTGCAATGGCAAATTTGGTAGAGCGTCGGTGTAGAATCTTTATGCCTTGGGATCGAATCTCGTCGAAGCATAAATTTTTTTTATTTGATTTTCAAATAATTACATTTAGTTTTATATGGGAGAAAAAAATTTCACTTGGATAAGACATTTAGCAGGATATAAATTTAGAAATAAATACCGCCAGTGACGAAGTGGGTAGATCGCTGGAAAGAAAATTCTTTTTTCACTTAATACTATGATTCTGTGGTATGTATATACATTTTTATATTAATTGTAATTATTTAATAAAAAGTAGCTAAAATAAAAATTTTCTTTGCTGACCTAAGTAGGAACTGACTTTTAAAATTCTTTTTTTTATGTTACTTGTTACATCTTAACATTGTTGTGTAAAACTTGCCTTACGGATTGTTTGTCAATTCGTACAGTCTCAGCAATCGCACGACGATCAGATCGATCCAGATTACCGATTTTTCGGATATTATTATCCGTTTTTGACATGGAAGGGGACCCGGGAGTCTTCTCGGCCATCTTGAAAACGCTTAAGCCATTCAAAAACACTTGCACGTGATAAACATTCATTGACATACACATCTTTCAATAAATTATAAGTAGCAGATTTTCCAAGTTTCATGTGAAATTTGACATTAATTCGATGCTCTATTGTTCACTTATCATTATTCTGGCGAAACAAAAAATAACTCTAATGCGAAAGAAGGCTGCGGTTGTAGCAATTTGCTTACTGAATAGAGAAATACTGCATTCGATGGAGGTGTCACGCAAAACAGCTGTCAGTGCATGCGTACATCTGTAGTCTCGTTATTTACTATCCACACCTCGTAATATTGTGGTCTCAAATGAATCTAATATTTTTGGGAGAAAGAATCGAACAAATATCTTTTTAATACAATGATTTTTAATGTACCTTTTATTTCCAAATCATTTATTCGAAATAAGAGAATTCAAATGAAATTAATTTCTTCCCTCAAAAAGAATAAGAAAAATGTGTTTATTATATCGGAGATCACATTAAATATTTTCATTAAGAAGATACATTTACAAATTCTTTCTCTGTTGTAACAATGTGCATTCTGTGTCACAATAAGCGTTGCTTTTTTTAAATTTTTTTTTATAACTAATGTTTCTCAATCAGGAAAACAGCTCTTAATATACAATTTTAATGTATTGTTTATCCCTTAATCGGAAAGACAGCAATGTTTTGTGCAATTAGTTTTAATTCTAGTCGTAAAGGAATTACTGTTGAATTAATTAAATTTTATTTACTTATTATTTATAAAAAATTATTATTTACATTCATAAGAGTCTCATACGATTCTTTCTTTCATACAGAACAAGCTTATGACATCAGTAAAATTAAAAAACACATTTTAATTTTTATGGTATGACCATCATTTACAGAAATAGTACAAATTTGAGGAAAAATAAAAAAAAAGAATGTGTATTTCATACCATATTACATTTGAAATGGAAGTGGATGCAATGACAGAATTATTTTGATGACAGATTAAAAAAAAAAAACAATATATAACCATAACAGTTAAAATGCACTTCCAACAGTATTAACTATAAACGATTAAATTAAACAAATTTAAAAAAGAATTTTCTTTTTCAATGTTGCGCAATTTAAACCAGTTAAAAATTTGGAAGCTAGTGAATCAACATTGTGAAATTTTCTCCGTTATGCGTTTTGCCCTGTGTGAACAGCTAGACAATCCCCGGAAAAGAAAGCTTACTTCTTTTAAATTCATGCCCGAAAGGCACGTCTTCTATTCCCATACAAAATAATAGAATCAAAGAGGAAAAACTTCGTAAAACAAATCTCCCGTATTTCCTCTTTTAAAAAATATTCTTTTCTCGTTTTTTTATAAGTGGAAGCATTTTTGTTCTTCACCTTTCTTATTTCAAGCAATGACCGGGAATGTTTGTTTTCCATTTTTATACAGAGATAAGGTTATTATAATAAAAAGAGATGGAAAGGTAGTTTCTTTCCTTTTTT